AAGACAGAAGTGATCGGGCACCCCTACAGTGCATACGGATCTTACTTAAAACAACATCACTAAGTGTACTGACTCTGTTGGTTATACTTACACTTGCACTGGCGGCAAGAAGCTCCATCGTATTTAGCAGTCTGGTTGCTTACTTGCTTCGTTTTGTGACTTTGGTCTGCAGGCGGCCCGGGCACATCCAGAAGTCCTCGTGGGAGGCTCTTGGCTGCACCTCGCGAAAGAAGGATAGCTTGACTTTTCTCAGGAAGTCGGGCTGCAGCTTCTGATGCAGCCTGCAGCTGCAGCGCAGAAGGCCCACCCAATGCCGAAGACAGCTGCTTGGGCTTGAGAGTCCAAAGATTGCCTGGAGGCGAGCATGCGAAATCATCGCGCTGGTGCCGGTGCTTCGACAGACTTTCGACAGCCGTTTGCATCAGCGCTCCCAAGCACAGGCATCGCATTGGCTGGCCTCGGTCTACTGGTCTACAACCTGGCAGGCGCAGCTTCCGTGCTAACGTGTGTCTTTTGAAGTTAACTCGGAGCGCATACTGCTGTTAATTGACCCCATAAAGGTCGACGGATGACAGCCTGGATCTTGTCATGCCTACTACGATGTCATGTGTGTCCCCGAAGGTCCACGGCTCTTTGTGGCTCCCCAGCCTGAAATGCTGGGGATACCGCGACATGGCTCAGAGGCGTCTGCTGCATGTTCCGCCTCGCATTAAAGGTTCGATTTAGGGTATAGGCAAAGCCGGCAGTCGCCATTGGAACAGGAGGCAGAAACGAACCGTGGGTCATTTTTTTGGGGTGCACCTTGGCTTGCTAACTCTCAAACAGCGCTAGCAAACACCGTTCAGGCCAGGGGTGAGGCCCTGATCATGTGTGCTGCGAAACCGGGTGGACGGCCTGCGGCTTGTTGAACGCTTGTGGCGTGAGTCCTGCACATGTCTTCCTTCCCTTGCAGATGTGGCTGAGTCAGGCCTGTGGATGTGACACAAGAAGCCATGCCCGCAAGCACCATCAAGGTCAAGCTTGGCACTTACAACGGCAGTTCCTTGTTGCCATTTGCAACACTGACCCCTCCAAATGGCAGTCTCCAGGACAGGAAAAGGTGAGCTGACTGTGGACCAGCAGTTTGACAAGAAGGAAAGGACAACCAGGCATCCCGCAGTGCGCGGCCGGTATATCTAGTAAAGCATCTTTGTGAATGTTGCTGCTTCTGACAGGTGGCTGAAAACCTTGAAGGGTAAGTTCGTGTACAGAGGCCCCAAGCCAGCAGATCCGGACCAATTCATTAAGGCAGGAAGAGGGCAGAATCAGCTCTAGTTCATTAGTTTCTGGTGGATTGTCAGGTCAACATTGCTGTGCCACTGGCACCGAAGCAGGCATCAAATACGAAGATCATGAATCAGGCCAGCATCCGTGTAGATTCGTAAGCCGAAGCACATGTTCGCATGTATGCTCTCAGCAGACTGTGGTCACGTCAATGTGATGTGTGCAACAGGTCATAGAAGAGCTCCGTCGCGTCAGTGGTGTTCACCCAGTTGTTGACGGCTTGGCAAACCTCCGGTTCTCGCAAGTCTGCAGATCCATCCGGCATCGCTCAAGGCAACCTACTTTACAGCCAACAATGCCGAGCTAGGATACCGCGTGGTTCATCTGGCCATTTGATGGCTGCCTTTATAACTTTGCCGCGGATGTTCCTTGATGTTCCAGACCTTGCTTGATCACGGTGCTGCCAGGGAGATAAATCTGGAGCCAAAGTCAACATACGGGGCCATTTGATGTCGGCTACCTATGTCTGACGTAGGGCATCCCGGGCAGAGAATTCAGATTGCCGCAGCTCCAAGGCATGATTTTCTCCAGAGGCTGAACACCATTGTTCTGCCCCGAGTGCGAGACTTCGAAGGCCATCCTTTATGGCGAGGGCAACCGACGGGTGCAACAGCTCCGCACTCGCTGCAGGTTTGGATCCAACCTCCTTCAACAGGAAAGCGAACTACTGGATGCACTTGCCCAGCCAGGACATGGGTGAGGATGGAGTGTTTCACGCAGAGCGGTGCTTTCTGACAGGAGCCCTTCAACGAGCTCGATGAGCTGCTCGACTCGCGGGACCTTTGCACGATCACATTTTCATGTGAGTACTGTCTCCGATGCTGCCACGAACCACAGATGGACAATGTCCCGCAGCATCCGTACAAAACAATGTGACTCAATCTCTGCGATTTCTCACACCTGAACTCGATGCATTTCTGCTTTCAAGCTTCAAAAAATGGACTGGCACTGTGAGCGGTCGCAGGAAGTTGTCCACGGCTTCAACATCCGCATCCTCAACAACTGTTTCACACAGCAAGAGCCCATGCAATTTGCGGTTCAACAGTATGTGTTGCCTTGTCTGGCATCCGAGGCCAGATGCTTTGAAGCTAATGAAAGAGTTCGGTTTTCCTTTCGGCGACCCAAAGCCGAAGCGGGTGGGACCTCAGATACGCTTGAATGTCGCAGGAGCTGCTTGAGAACATCTGGACGTGAACAGGTGAGGGTGCCAAAGGATCCTTACGCGAAGTTCAAGAACAAGGGCAAGGGCAAGAAGAAGCGATAGGCTGGGGCCGGATGTTGCAGCTTGTCGTACTAGGGACACAAGCGTCGAGCGCCAGGCGGCTTGGGACCTCTGAAAGCTATTTGCTGCCGGTTTTCTGCCTTTCTACGTCTGCCGTTTCTGTGGTGTGTACCGTTGCTGATTGCCTGCGCCGAAAGACAGGCCGCCAGTGTTTCAGCCAGATTGCCATGTGGCAGAGCCTGGCAGAGATCTGTATTAGGATTGTTTCTGGTCGAGCTTCAGAGCTTGTCGCAGCCACGCTTGCTCAAGCGGGACCGCAGCTGCAGCTCAGACCAGCCCACATCTGCTCACGAATGCCTTGCAGTGCACTCGCATGCCATTTTGAACTTAGCATAATTCTCTCCGCATGGCTTGCACATCACACACAGGCTGAAGCTTGACTTGAATCGGGAAGAAACTGTGCTGTCGGTCAGTGTGTTGCCTGAGGTTCGAGGACAAGATGTTTGCACCCTGCGGGGACGAAGCACACGAAGATTTTCAAGCACCCGAGGCGGCTGGAGCATTGCACGCCAGCTTGCTCTCTGGCATTTCACCCGCAGGACCCAGAGGGTGTGTCTTGTCCTGGCCACCCTCTTCGGCTGCACTCTACCTGAGTTTTTCGTGTGGGTCCAAGAGGTGCTGCAATTTTCGCGCTGTGTCAGTTCATTGTCACGGCTTTTCCGAGGGCATCTCCTTCGCTGGTAACCCACCAGCTCTACAAGTACAACAGGCTCGTCTGGCTGTATCGTGGGTCTTCTGCCTTCGGGCTCTCCCAGGCCGTGCAGCGCAGCCTGACCGTGGCCCGCCCATCCCAAAGTGAGGCGGGTCTCCATTCCATCCGTCCTGTCCCTGTTGAGCGAGCCTGCTTGACAGCAGGATGCAGCGGAGCCTGCGGAAGAGCTGCGACAGCAAAGGTCAGCAGAGCGCTGGGGCCCAATGACAAGTGATGCAGTTTGTTACGAAGGTTACTAAGCTACGATGTCAATCGAAGTTGCTGGAAACTTTGACAGGTCGGAAATGCCATTAAGACATTCCGGCCTTTCACTCTTGGAAGCTTAAACGTGGGGTTGAAGCTTGGTTCTTGCAGGGTTCACATTCGGTTAGAATCTGGGGTTTCATAAGCTTCTTTAGTCTTGGCTCCGGGTGTTTCTTAGGGTCTAGGGTTTTGTGGCACCATTTGTGGCTTGGGCAGTATGTGTTTGGAGATCTACGGGTGCAGTTCAGGGTTCCGGATTTTTGCAAAGCTTAGGGTTTAAGAGCTGAGTTTTGGGACTTCTGTTTGTTTGATTTGCAGGTTCAAGGGTTTTAGGGTCTAGAATTAGAACTAGCGCCGTTTGTAGCACCATGAATGTCACTATCATCTAGACGAAGACTTCTGTTATTGCGATTATGGTGCTTCCTGCAACCTTCATCACTACTGCTGCTAGTATTTTTCGTGCAGAGTTTGCCTTTTTTCAGCTCTCACTACACTTAGCGGCCTTGTGTAGAATGCTGTTTTACGCTACTTTTAAGCTTCGTATTGGGGAGTTGGGGGCGGGGGGGTTGAGGGGTTTGGATGGTTGCAGACATGATTGAGCTATATTGAACGGCTCGTTTGTTGGGGTGGGTGGTGGGGATGGTTGCAGGCATTGTTGAGCTGTCTTGAACGAGTCGTTATTTTGTCGCAGTCGCTCTCGCGTAGTTGCAGGCATGTCGGACATATCTTCAAGGGCAGTCGCCGTCTGGTCAAGCGACTACTTTGTGGCGTGACGCAACGCTGTTGGTGGCATTCGGCTGCAGCTGGATTCCTTTTCTCCATGCAGCACTATAGCGAGCTTCCGAAGGAAGTCCGCGAAGAGGACGAAGACATTCGTGTTGCTCTGAGGCGCAACCGCAAAGCTTGAGCCCAAAAGAACTGCGTTTCGTCCTGTCTCCGAGAATAATGCCTTGACACATGCCCCACCCCTGGGCCCAACGGAGTACGGGGTGCTTGGTGACCTCTTTAGGTTGGTGGGACCCCAGGGGCGGCACTAAGACG